GACGTTGACATTTCATTCATATTAAAACAACATAATCACATTCTAAGGATTTTTGTTTGTTTTTCCAGATATTTTCTTCATATATATATATATATATATATATATATATATATATATATGTGTGTGTGTATGTATATGTTGTATATTCTATATATAGAAAGCAATCTTTCTTTTATACATGTTTGATTGAATGTGACAGACAAGGAAAATTTTATAAGTGTTTTCTTAATTTTTTTGTAATGTTCTTACAGTTTTCATTTTATTAAGGATGAAGAGAGTGTAGAAACTGTCCATAATGATTATTGTCCCAAGCACTTTTGACCAATTATTTAGCCATTTTGAAGAGGTTCATTATTTTAATATGGTTTCCTGAGTTTATGTTCTAAGTTGTATTGTATAGAAGTAGTAGTAATACTAAGCTGTGCTGAATGGCAGTAGTAGTAATTCTATGTTGGGGTGGGGGGTTATCTTTAAAAGACCACCAACATGCTCTTTCTGTTTTCATAAAAGGTTAATTTGACTTGGCTTAACCCATTTCATATGAACTGCTTCAATTGTTTTAAGACAGCTTTTACAATTAGATTTTCTTAGAATGACATAAGAATTTTTCATATGAGAGTAGATAGTTGTGTATAGGTGTTATAAAACTACTTCTTTATTGCACTGTGATCATTTGTGGTCTGTCAGTCTTTGACTTCATGATGTTGACATGTGACCGATGTAGTTATTCTATTTATTACAATAGTCCCCATTTTGTATTGGATGTCAAAATTGATAAAATATATTGGTGGTCTGAAGTTTGGATTTGATAGGTATATTGTTATTTTGTAATTGTGAAGTTGGCAGTTTTTATTTTTTTTTTTAGTAAATTGTAAGTTTTATACATTTGCTTGAGTCAATGGGTGATATGTATTGTTTAATGATAGTAAAAATTCATCTTGTTTATAATTTTTGTGCATCTTGTTGCGCTAAAAGATATTTCTGTTTTGTTGTGCTGCATTTTTAGGATTGATGCTCTTTAATTTCTGCAGGAATAATCGTATTTGGTTATTGATAATGTAATTGGGAAAATTATGGTAAACCAGTAATAGTTTTATACACTTGAGTTCATATCACCCCATGAAAGGCAGTAAAGCCACTAAGATACAGTGGGAGTGGTGAATGAATTTGAAAGAATAAGAAAAAAGAGAAACATTATTAAAGTGCAAGAACAATAAAAATCAAGAAGACAGTAGATGACAATTGACATTTCATTTAAATTTTTGAAGATCAAATTGGCTAGAAAGCATGAAACCAGAAGAGAGTTTCACAAGCGAAAAGTGCAATAGAAGAAACTGTTGGCATAGAACTTACAGCAACATCTAGCCAATTCAACTGTAAACCAATGAGGCCTTGTCGCCAATCTAGTAATGTGCTTAAATTCATAAAGATTAGGTGCCATAGTGAAGAGTTCATCCAAACAATTACTCTGAAAGTATTTATAGAAAAGACACAGGGAAGCTACATTACAGTGGTGAAAAAGTGACTGAAGTTTAGATGCCAGGTCAGTACCAATAATATTGCTGATTCTTTGTTGGATTTTATCAAGAATCTCTAGATAGGCAACAGGGGCACCTGACCATATATGGCAGCAATATTCAAAGCATAGGCAGATGGTAGACTTATAAATATGTAAGATAGATTCAGGAGTGAAAGATTATTTAGCATGACAGTGAACAAACTTACCAGCAGACCTATCAATGGATTCAATAGTATATTTCCACTTCATGTCAGTGAAAAATGGTCATCTAAGAAGACGCAATGAGTCACTCTCTTGGAATTTAAAATCAGCCATGCTGATGGTAGTTAAAAAGGGTTCTCTCAGATAATTAAAAGAGAGTAGTTTCATTTTGTTGGCGTTAAAATTAATAAGCCATTCCTTGCCACAGTTAACAACAGACTAGGTTATTCTTGAGATCAACTGCAAATTTGACCTTATGGTTTGAGAACTGATGTTATCAGGAAGCTCATTGATGAAAAGGACAAATGAGGTCCAAGGATAGAGCCCTAGGGAATGCCAGCATTAGTAGAGAAAGATCTAGAAGAGTGGCCATTCAAGAGTATTTTCATTTTGCAATTTGATAAGAAAGACTGAATTAGTTAAAATATTTGTCCAGAAATAACAAAGCTTTTCAATTTATGAAGAAGAACAGTATGCCAAACCATGTCAAACAGTTTGGCATACTGTTCTTTTTCATAAATTGAGATGTCCAAAGTAACAGCCCGAGCTTCACCCGTCTTATCTAAAGCTTAATAGACCTTTTTCGCAGTAATCATTAGTATACCAGCAGTTGACCTAGAAAAGTGAAAGCTATATTGCTTGTTTGAAAGAAGGCACTACAATGTGAGATGATTAAACAATTCAGAGTTGATTTGTTAAATGCATTGGTGTTGAGTTTTACATAAACATTGAGGAATGGGATTTTATTGCTAACATTGAATTTTGGGGGATTTTCCTTGAGTAGATTTTAGGTTAGTCCTTTCTTTGCTATTTCTTGCTAGTATAAAAATATCATCAACGTATATTGCATAGCTTTGTGCTTTGTTTGTTTGGAACAATTTTTTTCTAATGTGTGCCATGTAAAAGTTAAAGAAAGCAAAGAAGGCATAAACTATATAAGTAAATTTGTTTGCGTATTAATGTATAGCATATGGGGTGCTGAAAGGTTTTCAGTTTGACCAAGTAGGGATTTTAAAAAAAGTTCTGATTTTTGGTCAGATTTTAGAAAATGGGGCAGGTCAGTCAGTTTTCAGCACCCCTTCATATCTGAATACAAATGCATATGTATGTACAATTTTATATCGGGAGTGATTTATCTATAAGACTGTGTATGCCTGTCGTAATGAATATATTTTGTATGTGTGCGATTGAGAATCTAAGTGTATATATTTGTATACATGTGTATGTTCAGTGTTTATGGTGTAAGGTAGGGCGGGTACGTGCGGATAAAGTGCCATTGGAATGTCTGCAAATAGAAGGAATGCAGACCAAATCTTGAGTTGTTGCAGAGAAAGATGAGAGAGATAGAGAAAGAACAGGAGAAAGAGAAACAGCAATTGAGACAGTGACTCAGAGAGGAAGGTGGGGGGTTACAGAGATTGTGCAAGAAAGAAAGAAAGAAAAAGAAAGAAAGAAAGAAAGAAAGAAAGAGACAAATTCTTCCTCCAAATCAAACAAAACAATACCAAATGAACACATGACTGATACCACTGCCCCACCCCTTAGTCACTTTGAATCTTTCTCTTGATGTCTCCTTCCCAAGTCTTCACCATTAGCTCATCATACCACCACCATTTGCACTGCCCCACCACAACCCACTGGTGGTTCCACTTTCCCCAACAATGTCCCTAAATCTTTATACACCCCATCCACACTCATCTATTGCAAACCCAATTGTTGTTGAGAGGGAAGGCATCTTGAGGAATAATAATAATAATAATAATAATAATAATAATAATAATAATAATAATAATGGTGATGATGATGATAATGATTTGTTCTTCATTTTTCTTCTGTATTTTTTAATTTTTTAATAATTTTATTCCTTCCATTATTCTTTTCTTTTTTGTTTTACCTCTGGTGTTTCTGTGTATTCTTCATCGCAATATTTTTCTATTTTCTTTATTTACCTTCTTCTTCTTCTTCTTCTTCTTCTTCTTCTTCTTCTTCTCCTCCTCCTCCTCCTCCTCCTCTTCTTCTTCTTCTTCTTCTTCTTCTCCTCCTCCTCCTCCTCCTCCTCTTCTTCTTCTTCTTCTTCTTCTTCTAATCTGTTCCTAATTCTTTTTTGTTTTTCTGTATATTCTTCTTTACAATATTTTTACTTCTATTTTCTTCATTTTCTTTTCTTCTGTTTTGTCTTTTTCGCTTTTCTTTTTTCTTCTTTTTCTTCTTTTATTCTATTCTATCTTTTAATCATCTCTAGTGTTGCTTCATTTCTTCTTCACAGTATTTTTCTTCTATTTTTTTCATTCTCTTTTCTTCTGTTTTGATATTTCATATTTTTTACCTCCTCGTCTCCAGTTGCTTCTTCTTCCTCTTCACTTTATTAATCATTATCTTCCATTTGTTCTCTTCTTTCTTTAGACATATTCTCAGGTTTTACTTACTATCTCTGCTTTTATACATGCTCTCTTCACTGTTTCTCCTTTTCATCTTCTTCTTTATCCAGATTTTATTATTCTTTCTCATCCTTTTTCTTACCTTTTTCATTCATTTATTTTTCTTTTTTCTTTCCTTTTTTTCTCTCTTCTTTCCTTCTAGAACTGTTTTATTTTTTTTTTGAAAATCTGAGCCAACATATTTAAGAAGCAGCATCCTCTTTTACATTTTCTCTTCTTATTTTTTCTCTTTTCTTTACTCAGTAAAAATCTCTTCATATTTATTAAAAAGAGAATTCTGATTTTCTTCTTTTTTCTTCTTCTTATTTTTCATCTCTTTCTTTCACATTTACAATTTATGGCCAAATCTCCGTCAAATTTACTTTCTTTTTCTTTGCATCTGCTTCTCCCTCTCTCTCTTTCTCTTTCTGTCTGTCTTACATAATAATGTTTAGTTTCTCATGTCTCACTTAATCGCAACTCTTATTCCTCCTTTTCTTCTCTCTTTCCATCGTTATATCATAAATTTTCTGTCACATTATTCCTTACTGCTTTCAGGCTTCCTCTACCATTCCTTGTGCACTCAACCTGACTAACGCAAAACTATTCTTGACTTCTTCATCTTATATATACAGCTGAATTTTGTCCACCCACAACTTTCACGCTCTCTCGATCTCTCTTATTTTCTGTCACTCTTCTCCTTGTATTTCATAACAATTATATTATAATTATTTTCTCTTTATCTTTCTTTCATTTTTTCTGTCTCTCCCTCTCTCTCTAGCTCTTCATTATTTTCCTTTCCCTCTTTTCTCATTCATTATCATTAAATCTCTTATTCTTCCCTTTCTTTTTGATTTGACCTTTTGCCCAAAATTATACTCTTCATTGGTATTTCATTTTTTTTCATCTCTCTCTCTCTCCTTCTCTCTCTCTCTCTTTCTCTCTCTCTCTCTCTCTCTCTCTCACAGACACTTTTTTGGGTAGGTGAAGAGCTATTTCCTTTTTCAAGCAATTTTCTTATTCCTCTGCTTTTTTTCAATATTCCTTTCAATGTATCTATCTATTGTACTCTTTTTATATATCTATCTCACTTTGTTCATATCTATGTCTGTTCAGTTCAGATATATCTATCTGTCTATCTAGGTCAGTTCCGCTCTATCTACCTATCTGTTTATCTATGTCTGTTCAGATCTATCTATCTATCAGTTCAGATCTATCTATCTATCTATCTATCTATCTATCTATCTATCTATCTATCTATGTCTGCTCAGATCTATCTGTCTATCTGTCTGTTAAGATATATCTATATCGGTTCAGATCTATCTAACTATGACTGTTCAGATGTATCTATGTCTATTCAGATCTATCTATCTATCTATCTATCTATCTATCTATCTATCTATCTATGCCTGTTCAGATCTATCTGTCGATCTGTGTCAGTTCAAACCTGTCTATCTATGTCTGTTCAGGTATATCTATATATCTATGTCTGTTCAAATCTATGTATCTACTTGTGTCTGTTCAGATCTATCTATCTATCTATCTATCTATCTATCTATCTATCTATCTATCTATCTATCTAAGTCAGTTCATATATACATCACAATCTGTCAGTTTTTTCATATATCTATCCATCTCTATCACAATGTTCATCTATCTATCTATCTATCTATCTATTTATCACAGTCTTTGCATATATCAATATATCAATATATATATATATATATATATATATATATATATATATATTTTATAGATTTTTTTTTTGTCTGTTTTAGCATCTTCTTGTCTGTGGGGAGATGCTGAAAAGTTGTCAGAACAATCTAGATCCCAAATCTGACCAAATACCAGAATTGTTTTGACTCTTCGAGGCAAGATCCAGAAATTCCCCCCTCTCTCTCTCTCCCCCTCTCTCTCTCTCAAAATGATTATTTGGCTTATTTATATCATTTTAATTTTCTTCAGTTATGAATTTACTCTTTCTTTACCTCTATTTTGTTTCTTTTCTGTATCCTTTTTACTCTATTTCATATTCACTTTTCTTATCCTTTTTACACTATTTACTTCTATTTTTTTTACTCCACACTCTCTCTCTCTCTAACACCCCCTCTCAATTTTTTCTTCCTTTTAATCTTAATTTATATCTTTTCATCCTTCCTTCCTTCCTTCTCTAATTTATTCTGGTGTCCGTTTTTCTTTCTCTCTCATGCTTTCTTTCATCTCCTCACACTCCAGTTTTTCTCCCCTCTCTTCTATATTATTAGTTTTTCCTCTATGTCTATCTACCTCTACACTCTTTCACTCACTCCCCCTCTACCTTTCCCTTTACTCTCTTTCTAATGTTTCCCTCCTCTAATTTCTATATTTCTATTGTATATTTTCCTTTCACTATTTTTTCTTTCTTTTTCTTTTGATAGCAAAGTCATTCCCCACAGCTTTTAGTCTCTCTCTCTCTCACTCACTCATTCTCACTCACTCTCTCTCTATCTCTTTCATTCACTCTCTCTCTCTCTCTCTCTCTCTCTCTCTCTCTCTCTCTCTTGCTCTCTCTCTCACTAATGTGTGGTTGGTTTAATGGATAGCAACTCAGAATTAAAAATATCTGATATCTGAGTTCCAATTCCAGTTGGGTTCATTACATTCATTTACATACAAATACCTTTGGCAAAGTTATAAATCTATCTCATCCCCCAACTATGGGTAAAATAGTATATAGGGCCTGTATATGAATAAATAAACATTGTTATTCTTAAAAAATTTATAATGCAATATTCATTCACAATACAAAACAATTATTCTTACAATCCAAAATGTTTCAGCATGAAGTAACCTACAAAGGGTTGATAAGCCATAAAAACAAATCAATCAATCAACTCTCTCTCTCTCTCTCTCTCTCTGTTTTCTAACTCTTACATTTCTTCCTCTCACTCTGTCTCTGTTTTATACTTTTCAAAATAACTTTTCCTCTCTGTTCTCCATCTCTATCTCTCTATTCATTTCTTTCTTTTCTCCTCCCACCATCTCTTTCTTCCCATCATCTCTCTCTTCATCTTTTCTCTCTAAATCCTCTTTCTTCATCCTGCTTCTTTTCATCCTCTCTTTATTCTAATCCATGTTCTCCTCCCCATTCTTACACTCTCTCCACCCACTCCCATTTTAACTCTCTTCATCTAGCTCTCCTCATCGTTTCTCTTTCTTCATCCTCTCTCATTAGATATGTTCTCTCTCTTTCTCTTCATCTTATCCTGTGTCTTCATCTTCTCTTTATCCATCTCTTCATCTCTTTGCTAACCTCCATTTTATCCTCTCTTTCCTTATCCCCTCCCTCTCTCTTTATCCATCTTCTCTCTTCACTTCTTTGCTATCCACTCATTTTATCCCCTCTTTCCTCATCCTTTCTCTCTTCAGTCATCATCTTTCTTTGCTACCCTCTCACTTCATCCTTCATCTTCTCTTTCCTTGTCCTCTCTATTTCTCTCTCTTCATCTTTTTTGCTATCCATTTTTTATTTTCTCCCTCTCCCAATACCCTCTCTTCATCACATTGTTATTCTCTCTACTTACTTTCCTCATCCTCTCTTCATTCATCTTCTCTCTCTCTCTCTCTCTCTCTTTGTTTCATTGCTATAATCTCACTTCATCCAACCTCTCTCTTAATTTCTTTGCTATCCACTCATTTTATGCTCTCTTTCCACATCCTTTCTCTCTTCATTCATCCCCTCTCTCCTCATTTCCTTGCTATCCTTTTGCCACATCTTCTCTTTCCTATTACTCTCTCTCTCTTCATTCATCCTCTCTCTCTCCTTTCATAATCTTACCTCTTTATTCTCACTCTTCTCATTCTCTCTCTTCTTCCTTTTTCTCTCTTCTCGCCTTACTCCCTTACCCATCCTTTCTCACTTCATCTTTCCTTTAACATCCCCCTGTCTCTTCCTCCTGCCTCTCTCTCTATCTTCATTATCTCCCCATCCTTTCTTATTCTATTCTTACTTTTCTTCTCCATTGTTATTTTCTTAATACACTTGATGTGTCTCTGCCTTGAAACATTTTACAGTGAATTTATCTGTCTCAGAGTTTATAGGTTAAAAGACAATCTGGATTTGATACGCCTTCAAATTGTGAATCTCTACTTCCTGCTTTTCTTCTATTTACCTGCTGTAAAATACTTCATTTTTTTTTAATTACTCCTCTTTACATAGTCAATGCAAGAGTCTTGTGCCCCTACTCCAAATCTAAGATACAGACTCTCACCAAATCTATGATACAGGGCCCCTACCAACTCTAGTACATCTCAATTTTCATAAGGTCATATTCATATAAGATTCAAATTTTATTGTAACCTAATTATGTACAATAATGGATCATATGCAATATAGGTGAACAATTCAACTAGAAAAATTGAAAATAAAGGCACTGTATCTAAATATGAATTAGAGACATGACATAGATCATTCCATTGGAAATAAATCAACAATGTTTTGCAACAATTTTTAATATCCACTTGAGATGTTTCTTGTGAAAAAGTTGAATAATTTTAATACATTCAACATTATGGATAAAAAAATACTGAATTTTATGGTCTTTTTTTCAAGACTTAGAATGAACAAAACAAATTCACAGATTTGGACAAAAAGAAAGGTTCCTGGGTGATGTCGAAAAAAAAAGTTCCAGAATGATGTCAAAAAAGGCAACATAACGGTGTCAAAAAAAAGCCCCAGAATGACGTCAAAATACATGAACATTTGACATCATTTAATACTCAGCTGTGCTTAGTTTAATTTTTAACACATATAAATGTAGGTAGAAAAAGGCAAATGTTGACAAGATAGAGAGGATCACAAACACTTACAGGAGTCACCAAGCAGGCTTGATACACAGTCAGTGGGGTTGGGTTAGTATACACCAGCCCTTCCCCTTTTACCCCAGTAGATTAACAAAAAGTGAAGATTAAGACCTTAGCTACCTGGCCAAAATCAACAGACAAACATCTCTTTTCTTCAAAAATAACTTTTATAAATTTTGTATGTAATTTTAATAAAAACTCAATCATCTATCACCTGAAAAAATTTAATATTACTTTAAATTATATTTGTATGACATTGTAGAATATCCTTTGCTTTTTTTTTAAATTTTCTTTATTTTCTTATATCAAATCTGTCTTTTTTTTCTTTTTAACTCTTTCTGTCTTCTTTTTCTTTGTTTCCTTCTCCTTTTCTATCATTAATTCTCTATCTCCAATTTTCTCTTACATGATATATTTCCACTTTACATTCCCTTTCTCTTATTTGCTTACTTCATCCCTATCTTTTTACATTTCACTCACTAACACTTGTTTGTCTTTAAATACTTTACTCCCTTGATCACCTACACTTTCACTCTATCATCTCTCTTTCCTCCTTAAATACTTTATTTTCACTCTCTAATGCTTTCTTTTTAATCTCTCTTTGCTCTATCAATACTTTATTTTCACGCTCTAATATTATTACCTTTTAATCTCTTATCTCCTTAAATATGTTATTTTCACTCCCTCACTCTCTTATACTTTCACTCTTTAATCTTTCTTTCCTCCTTCAATACTATATTTTCATTCATTCATTCATACTTTCACTTTCTCTTTCCTCCTTAAATACTTTATTTTCTCTCACTCACTCTCTCTCCTACTTTCACTCTATTTCCTCCTTCAATATCTTATTTTCACTCCCTTACTTTCTTATACTCCCACTCTTTAATCTCCCTTTCCTCCTTAAATACTTTATTTCACTCGCTCACTCTCTCTCTTATACTCTCACTCTTTAACCTTTCTTTCCTTCTTAAATGTTTTTTCACTCTCTCATTCTCTTATAGTTTCACTTTTTAATCTCCCTTTCCTCCTTCAATACTTTATTTTCACTCCCTCACTCTGTTATACTTTCACTCTTTAATTCTTCTGTCCTCCTTCAATACTTTATTTTCACTCACTCATACTTTCACTCTCTCTTTCCTCCTTAAATACTTTATTTTTCACTCCCTAACACTTTCACTCACTTTCCTCTTTCAATATTTTATTTTCACTCCCTCACTCTCTTATACTTTCACTCTTTAATTCTTCTGTCCTCCTTCAATACTTTATTTTCACTCCCTCACTCTCTTATACTTTTACTCTTTAATCTCTTTCCCTCCTTCAATACTTTATTCCACTTGCTCACTCTTATACTTTCACTCTTTAACCTTTCTTTCCTTCTTAAATGTTTTATTTTCACTCCCTCATTCTCTTTCATTGAATGCCACAATTTTTTTTCTAATACTAAATTATATATTTTCAGTTCTCCCAAATAACATGTTTGTATTTTTATCATTACATTTTATAGATATTTCCTAAGGTTAGCAAGAATCAAATTCATTACAGTAGTAACAGCTTGCTAACAATCTGCTCCATGGTGAGACACCCACACACTAAGTTTTATAAGTGTTCCGTTGTTCAGCAGTTTGGTTATTTTCTCCTTGCTTTCTTTACTCCCTTTCTTTCATTTTCCATCTTTTTTCTTTCTTTTTTTCAGATTCATTATTTCTTTTTCTTTTATTTTCTTGTTCATTCTTTAACTTTCTTTTTACATTTCTATTGTTATTTTTTTCTTTTTCTTTCTTTCCTTGTCTTTCTTTTATTTTTCCACCTTACTTCTTTTTCTCATTTATGCTCCCTTTCATTCTTATAAATGTCCTCTTTCATTTTCTACCTTTTATTTATTTTATTTTCCAACTCATTCCTTACCTTTATTGTTTTTGTCTATTTTTGTTCTTTATTTCCTTCTTTACACTTCTTTCTTTCTTTTTTTCTTCCTTTCTTTCTTTTTCTTTCTATAATTTCTTTCTTTTTTTGTCATTTTTTCATTTATTCAGTTCTAACTTTCTTTTTTATTATTTCTTTCTTTTTTCATGTCTTTCCTTCCTTTCTATTTTATCATTGTTTTGTTCTTCTCTACTATCTTTTTTCGTTTCCTTCTTTCTTTCTTTCTTTCTTTCTTTCTTCTTTTATCGTTTTTTTCTCTTCGTTCTTCTGTCCTGTCTTTCTTTCTTTCGTTTGCTTACTTTCTCAACCTACTCATTCATTTTGATTGTGAAATGTCCGATTTTTCTTGATACATCCTCTTACTCTACAGTACTAATTGTACTTCTCGTGACTTTTTTTAAGTTAAGAA